CCCAACGGGGACTGAAGGGCACGTGACTTGCGTACGTGCCCGCCTAGACGTTAAATAGACACACACACACACACAGTCTAAGCATCCCTATTTGCTATAAGAAACCTGGATGTGCCTTTCGAGGGTTGCGCCTCTTTATTATGACAAGTATCACGTGAGAACGTGATTCGTGACAATTACCCCCTTTCTCTCCCATCTCCTCCTTCCCCTAAACAATTTCTCCCCTAAACAACTTCTCCCCTAAAAATAATATAAATAACCATCTATATAACAATAGTAATATAAGCAAAATAATAATCAAAACGGCATACTCCTACCTAATAAACTTATATAATACGATACCTAGATTAGTACTTAATACTAAAAGTAAATAATACCTAAAAAAAGTAAAAGACCTCGAGATAAGACTTAATCGAGCGAAGTTAATACTTACTATACGAATTAGAATAATTTTATAACCGATCGATTCGAAATATATAAACTCTAAGAAAACCAAGTCTCCCTACCTTATACCTTCCTTATCTCAAAGCTCCTACCTATTTACCTAGTTATTATTAAGGAACTACTATACTTCTTTACTCCCATTTATATTTCTACTTATATCTATACTTCTACGAATTATAACCAAGTATTCTAGATTCTAGATTCCCAAAGAAAAGAAAAGTATAAAGAGAAACAAAGAATACAAACTACTATTCTATATAATACAAGACAATACAAATATAAAACTAATCTAATCTATACTCCTACTCCGTCCACCTAATCCCAATACACACCCCAAACGAATCCCAATCAATAACACCCAAAGTATACCTACCACTTGCTATACAATACCCCACCAACCCTCCCAAATCCCAATTTCACTCCATTCCATACCAAAGAAACCAAATACCATCATACAATAACCCAATACCAAACACACCAAGCAATCGAGAATCCTACACCGCCTAGGTCATTCAAAGAAATACAACAACCAACACCAAAAACCATCCCCAACCCTCAAATAAACAAAGAATACCCCACGGGATACGTAAAAGTCCCCCTCGCTTCACCATCACAAGTCCTTCTCAAGAGAAACCTCCTTCACACTATTCTCAACCATCTCACTCTTCCCCTTCCCCTTCTTCCTCCCCCAAACCTCCTCCACAACCCTCAAAACCTTCTCTCTCTCCAACCTCTCCATCTCCTTCAACTCCGCATGATAATCATCCGTGCTCTTCCTCAAACTCACTTCCTTTCTTCGACGCCTCCCACTTCCACAACCACTTCGCACACTTCCACACAGTTCAGACCCATCCCACTCCGCCAGATCCTTCGCACTCCACGTTCGATACTTTCCTTTCTTGCTTTCGGACCGTTTCGGCCATCCAGTCTTGTTACTGTGCACAAGACATTCATCGTAGAATTTGGGATCAGCAATACTGACGCTTCGTGGTAGTACGTTATCCTCGTCAACACTTCCATCCACGGTCCCCATATCCATATCGGCAAGGTTGTCGAGCCTCTTTTGTTCCGCTAGTTGTTCCATGACTTCCTGTTCCATCTGAGCCGCACTTCGAAGTTCCATGGGCAGAATCTCCAACTCGGGACGATCCAGATGCAAAGTCGGGTTAAGACTGCTTCTTCTGCCGAAGGTATCTTCAATCTCAGGCGGCTCACCTGCATTTTGATAATTCTTGATTTCTTCTTTGAGTTTCTTTGCCACTTTTTCAACAACTCCCTTCTTTCTTGCATCATCCGCATGAGATGGGTGATCATCACCTTCATAATGATACAAGTGATGCTTCCGTTCATGAAGATACCAGGTAGGTTCACCATTACCTGCAATTGTCATGGCAAAGTCCCTTGCTTCAACATTCTCAGGTCGTCCAGCACTAAAACTCCTCTCATGTCGTGAATGACTTGGAAAACGCGACCACGATGGTGGAAACCGCAGGTCTGGGCCTGTTGGAACCTTCTTTTTGACAATATTCTTGCTTTTCATTTTGGCTTTGCCCGCGATCGCGGCCATCTCGTCCTCCCACAAATCCATGACAACGTCTTTGGCCTCCAAATTATCATCAGACTCACCATTTTTATCGGATTTTGGGTCCTTTTTCCTTTTCATCATCAAAGCAGCAAACACAGTCTTTGGCTCATCACTGCCTTTTCTCCGACGCAGGCCGCGCCTTTTCCCACGACTACCTCCCCAAGAACCACCCATTGGGTCTTCTGTCTTCTGAAGTTGTCCTGATGGCTTGGGGTTGAATCCCGGAACGGGTACCGTAAGCAATTCTTCCTTGGAATGATGAAGAGGAGATGAAGGACCGTCGTATGATTTGATTGCGAACTTTGCCAATTTGCCAAATCTCGAGGACTTGCGTGGTACTGATGTTTCATCGGCTTTTGGTTCCAAGTCAAACTCCTCTCGGAATTTGCTGGAGACAGGTGTGCTGGGGCTTCGTCTGGCTTCCGCGGAAGCGAATCTGGTTTTGACGATGCTCAGTTCTGCTTCTCGTTCACGGAATGATTCGGTTTCGGATACAAGCAATGAGCTATCATCAAATGCTGTTTTGCGGGGTTGTCTAGTGAGCGGGAGCGGTCGACTAGGGGATGTGTCACTTGCTGTCGTCGCAATGGTCAAGGGCTTTTCCAGATTTGGGAATTCCAATTCTAAGCGAGGCGTAATCAGCGATGTGAAAATTTCAAGCTTGTAGAAAGATTGCGAACAACTTACTGTCAATCTCGGATGCTGCGGGGCTGTTCATGCTACTTGCCAAAATTGATGCCAAGTTGAAGCGAGAGCTTTCAGCAGATGGCTGGATGCTGTTACCTGTGGAAGGATAGTGAGATGATGTTTGATCTTGTAATACGTTACCCCAAGATTGAGGTATGCAGCCACTCAAAGCTATGGAGTCTGAGGTGTTTCTAAGGAAACGGGATCGTTCAATACGAACGAGTGAAGTGTCACTACTTGAATCAGCACGAGTGACTGAACCCCAACCGATCAGCTCAGGCGATGAAGGAGATGGCATGAGAGTTCTGGAAGCCAGCCGGTGTGATATCCCCATTTGATGGAGGTGTGGGGTCTGCAAGTCACTCTCAGTTCCTCCATCGACGCCCGAAACATCGTGAGGGACTGGGCATGCTGGGGTTTTTGGATTCGATGAATTTTTAGAGATGTCCTTGTTGTCTAAGTTTGAGATTGGATTGGATGAGGATCGAAGTCCTTGACCATGAAGCCATCTCCGCAGGGTTGGCCCACTCATCGTTGTTTCTTCAATTGTGGCAGGAATTGGGATCTTATACTCTTGATTGGAATTGCTGTTGTAGACAAAAGATAATCGCCATGATGACCTTGTTGGCTCCGGAATGCTTGCAAGCCGCTTTGGCTCAATGACTGGAGCTGGTGGAATCGGCGGGATTTCACTTAGTTTTCTCTCTTGCTGACAAGTTACAATCGGAAACCCAAAGTGGCCGGAATCTCCATCGTGAAGAATAGGAGAGCTATGTCTTTGGGAAATCGTACCACTTGATCTACTTATCGTCCGGTCTTCTTTTTTCGGTGCGTCGCTGGAAGTACCAATAATTGTGTCAATCTGTGGTAGTTTGTCTGGACTAACTTCCGCCTTGATGGCGTCTGTTTCTGCCTTTTCATTTTGCCTTCCAGCTGTTAGCCACTTTCAACTTGGGGCTGGGGTAGCAGAACTCACTCGTTTAGAGAAGGTCCTTCGGCAACGGCTGGGAATGGGTATGATGGATATGATAAAGAAGGGCTAACTCGTCGTGGAAGTGGGATGGCTTCTCGTGGTTTCCAAGATGAATTGATAGTAGTTCCCAATGTAGTATCGGCATCGGCAATGGACGAAAGCGACTTTGCATCCTCATCGTAACTGGCTTCATTGCTCAACTCCAGCTGGATTCGCTTGTGGCGTATGCGTTTCAATTCGGCTCGACGCTCGATTTCCTTGTCTGTCGTTCCCACGCTGGAAACGGATCGACGCTTTGATAAAGTAGTTTCTCGTGAAAGGTGCTTTTTCAATTTCTGTTTAACAGCACTCAACGTGCTCGAGCTCTTCTTTAGCTTGATCTGTTCCCATTCTTCGTCTGTGTCCGATTTATCTCCCAGCAGGAGGCTTCGCAGCTTCAAAGTGCTTGCCTGCCGGGCAGGTGTGATTTCTGGCTCGCCTGAGACAGCTCTTGCATTGCCGTTTTCAAATATGGGATCCAGTTCAAGTTCGACACCTTCTGCAACAGGTATGAGTGCGGTATCGGCTCCTTCGGGTGGGTTGTATTCTTTGGTTTTTTTAGGTTCTGTAAGTTCTTTGGATTCTTTGCGGCACTCATGTACGACGTTGACTGATCGCTGAGGGGTTTTGACTGGGGATACGGCCAGTCGAGGTGGTTCTCCATCTGGAGAAGGGGGAGTACGGCTGGTGCAGCAATTGACACTGCTTCTGTTGGCTCGAGATGGCATTTTGAGGGAAGTTGAGCACGAGGACAAGCTGAAGCACACGTGTAGGGCGAGTTGACATTCACATCTCGGTTTTAGTGCAGATGCAGATGCAGCCACGCTTTTGAGGGATCTAGAGAGTTGAAGTTGAAAGATGGAGACAGTCAAAAAGAACATGAAATGGAAAGGGCAGGCGTGGAGCAAGACCAGGAGTCACCGGGCTATTGAGATCTTCCTCTTGCTTTTGCTCTTTCTCGCGGAAAGAGCTCATCTGTCGTGGATGAGGGTTTACGCTTCCGCTGGAAAGCGCGTATGATAGTATGTAGGTACCATATCATGGTAGCTCTTTCCCCCTCAACTTTGCAATACATACAAGTGCCTGCCTGGCTTAACTACAACGCTTTTCTTGGAAATCGCCAGTAGATGTACATGCAACGACTAGCATTCTTTTTCTCGCAGGAACCATCTCTACTGTAGATACATGATACATCCTCGGACGCGGAGAAGTGAACCGAAAAAACGATGAAAACGCACAAAACTCGGTTAATGAAATATCTATCAAACAGAGGCGATCATGGCAATTTTCCAGTGAAAACAAAAACTCAACACCAGCCCAGATCTAGCTTGCTACTACGAGTATATCCCTACGTACCATTCAATCTCTCTCTCTCTCTCTCTCTCTCTCTCGCTCCCTCCTCAAAACCCCACCACAAACACACCATCCCTCACACACCCAAAAAAACATCCTCCCCACCCCAAGAATCGCACCATTCTATCCATCAACGCAGGTACCTCCAGAATCTCCACCAACCAAGCAAAGAAATCGACGAGGTCCTCAGACTCGGATCTAGGATTGCATATCCACGGGATCTCTCTTCCCTAATCGGGCGTTGACGAAGGGCTCGGCGTTCCAAAGAGGGTTGGTTGGATGCTCGTTTACAGCGTGCATAGAGTACACGACCTACCATTTTGGGCGTGGATTGGGATTGTCTCCTCTCGAAGCGGGGTTCTTTTTAGGAATGAATACTTGCGCGTAGAGTACCGTACCGTAGTGAGACGAGATGAGAGTGGATTGGACTGGACTGGATTGGATTAGCTTGAAGGATATGGATTTATACTCTACTGTACCTGGTACTCTACATCGAGGACCACTCTCGCATCGCGAACTCTACGAGCCCTTCCTTCTTCAGAACCGCTTTCCATCGGCTATGAAGAAGATCTCAAGTTTTCATTTCCTCGTCATCACCGGAAACTTGCAGAGGAGCATGCACGCACTACTGTCCTGGAGCGGCCAACTTCACGGCTTACCCCAGACAAGGGATTCTCCCCATCCTCTCACAGTGCGGTGCCATCAGGAAGCACGACTACCGAGCCGCGACTTTCCTCCGACGATGAACCCGAGTATCCAATGAACAAGGCCACGGAGGTACTCGAGTACTTCTACACTGCAGTACCTGGATGGCTAGGTATATTTAGGGTCTGTCTATTTCTATTTTCTATTTTCTTTTCTCCGTCCGTCTGTACCCACTGGATAAATGCAAAGTTTATAAATTTATCCATCATAAGCGAGCAGCAACACCAGATCCACATCCACATCCACATCCACACCTTCCCCATCCTCTCCACTTCTTCCTTCTAATAAGAATACTCCAGCTCGGCGTTAGGTGCTAGACAGAAGCACGTGCTATCACGCAACCACCATCTCCATCTCCATCGATACCCAACCCAACCCAGTACAACAACTACCTACTACAGCACCAGAAATTCCTATGGATATTCACGGCGTACTCCTTTCGTTAAGAAGGAGAAGGAGAATATATTACCATCTTCCTCACGGCGAGTCCGATGTGACATTCCGCTCCTCTCCTTTGCTTACAACACAGCACAACACATCACCTCACCTCGTACAATCCTCGGATTTAGGAGACAAATTGCCAACACATTCCCGTTCCCGTGCAGTGGAGAGATTAGAAGGACCTCGGGAGGAGGAATGACACTCACTGTATGGTGACGACTCTACGAAAAAGGCAAGCTTCTAGAAGCCGCCACCGACTGGGGTCGGGCCTCTAGCGTGATATTTTAATTTCTAGGGATATGCATTGCCATTCCATTGCCATTACGAGGCCTGCAAGCTAGAGTAGATATCCATGGAACCACATCGTATCCAGTGGATTGGTCAGGTTGGTCGATGCGTAAATACGACAGACACGGGACAACACAACGGCCTCGCGGACGTTTGGCGAACTTTGGCTGCTAAATCCCTACTGTATTGAGGTAGGAGGTAGGATTTAAGGGTTAATATGGGAATATGGAATATGGTATGGGAATATGCGGGCGGTGAGTTTCTGTTTCTGATTTTACTTTAGAAGTACTATAAAGTAGAGTGCGGTACGAGGATAATATCGACATGGAGGGATATACCACACAATAGGATCGTTGTTCTTTTTTTTTTTCTTTTTTTCTCTACTTATAATATCAATACAGTGTATTCCACCAGCAACTCGTCGTAGTTCTACCTATAGATTTCCCCGCCCCGCCTTATATCTCGCTAACTATACTATAGTCTACCGAGGATTCTAGAAACTATTAAAAAACTAATATAATTTATATAAATAAAAAATAGCAAGGTATTCCTCAATTACTATTCTTATTACTATTCTTATTACTATTATTATTAAATAGAAAATAATTAATAGTAATAATATAATATATATAAGTTATATATAAACGTCTAATATAGTCTTTTAAATCTCCTATAAGACGTCGCGTTATCCTAAGGACGTATAAGCCTATAAAGGAAAGGAAAGAAGCTTATAGAAAATAGAAAACAGATATTACGAACTTTCCTTAACTTATTAATAAATTAACTATTTACTATAACTATAACTAGTATATCCTATATCTAACTGGTAACCTTGTACAGTACAGCAAGTGCGGCGACAAATACAGTAGAAGGAAAAGAAAAAGAATTTTCCTTACTCCAACAAACCGAACCAAACGGCGAAATCAAACCTAGGTACCAACCAACCAACTATTCACAGACCCTTAAAAAACGATCATAGAAAGAAAAAATTGAAACCAAGGGTGGTTTGGTTTTGGTTCGAGACGCGGTTTCTAATTCCTGGCTCCCTGGATTACTGTAGGGAATGGATGGGAGGATGGTATGGGAAATACGGTAGGTAAGTCCTGGACTACTATCGCCAGCTATAGGTACCAGGTAATGGATGTATAGACAGGCTGATATAAAGTTATATTTTCCAGTCCACGTATCCTTGGTTTACTTACCAGTCTCCCAGTTCGTACTATAACTTAGTACCTATATAACAATGGGATTTTCTCGAACGCGAACGAAGGCTTGCGAGAACAGTTGAATAGTTAGTTGGTGGGGTCGAAAGGGTACATACAATACAGTAGAGGAGAGGAGAAGTTTGAGGATCGTTCCATCTTGATGAGGTGATCGACAAACCACCATGCAACAAACGTGTCATATCATATCATATCATCCCATCCCATCCATTACAAACCACCTACTTCGTCGATGGCGATTTCCTTCCCTACAGTATTTCCATAGGGTAAGTACAGCATCACGGAGTCTTCGAAAAATCCGAAAGAAAACGCATCATTGTCATCAAGCTCAGTGCTCAGGCGTAGATCCACGATGGCGTGATGCAGGACATGTCAGTCTTTGCAGCTTGATTCTGTAAGAAACTGGGGCCCGGGGCGAGGAAAGTTGGGCGATCGAATCGTCGAGCGAAAGATAGAGTTCTTCACTTATTCAATCATGGTATTTCCCCGAGAGGGCACGATCACCACCATACTTACGCCCCGAGGCACCCCAGGTCATGTCGATAAGCTTTCCCAGCTCCTCCCATGACTACCGTTTGCAGGACGGGACAGGACCCCTTTTACGGGATATTGGTGGTACTGTACTGTGCTGGACCTGGGAAGACTTTTATGATGACTGTGCAACATTGCAAACCTGAGCAGTCGTCAAGGCTCAAGCAATAAACTCATCCATCCCGTCCCGATTCAGGAATAATATCCAGTGCGTGGGTTAAGGTTTAGGTTTGAACTGTAGTTATTTATTTCCGCGGGGGAGGGTTGAGATAGAGTTGAATCCGTAGATGATACCCAGTATGACGATCGCATGTTCTTCGTGGCGTCGAGTGCCTTCTATGCAGCCATCGTGCATGCGGCACGGGGATGGATGGGCGATTTCGTTACGTTTATGTTCAAGGCCGAGTGGTGTGCAGAGCAGAGCAGAGCCAAAGCATTCGATGTGGTCGGGACATCCACTCGTCGGGTTGTTTTGGCGAATCACCATTTCCCATGTACGCTCGGACCAAGAAGGGCGTTGTCATCGCATTCGTGTTCTTTGCTAAGCTTCTTTCGGGCTTCTTTCAGTTTGCCTTTGAGGTTCTCTTTCTTCTTCTGTCGATGATTCGCCCAAGCAGGTTAGCTTCCGTAGTATTCGGCGTGTAGAAGAAGGGTGGACGAAAGAGAGGCAGGCTGCTTTGTGGGAAAGTTCGCCATGTCCAATGTCATCACTCCGTCGCCCCTGGCTCCCCTTGGAATGATCCCTGGCGGCTTCAACTTCAATGCTAGGCTGGAAGCAGGTTAGAGAGTGACCACCGTTCACGGACCACGCAGCTTCTATTGGCCGGGTGCAGAAGAATGCAGGTCGATTGGCAGGCAGAGTTTCACTCTTTTGATGGCTTTTCCCATGCGCGCCCGCTGGGAGGGCAAGGGAATGCCATGCTGATTGGCCTCTTCCGCGTTGGAAATGGTTCTAGCGTGCCCTTCGCCGCCTTCCACGGCTTCCACAGCTTCCACAGCTTCCATGGCAGTCTAGGAGTTCCCAGCATGGCTGCATGAGACGTTGACGGGGTTCTTCACCAATGATGGCTTGCACTGGCTAGCACGATTTACTTGGAAGTAGCACTGGTGAGTGAGCTAGCGTTGCAGCAGCATGCCATCAGAAATGCATCGGCCTGCACCGTCGTAGCGTTGCTCTCGCTCCAGTCAGGTCTTCAGGCTTTCTCTCTCTGAAGCTGGAGCTGGAGATGAAGCTGAGTTGGGCCCGTCCCCCATGTCGAGGTCCTTCGCTGTGACTTTGCTGTCTTCTGTGCCTTCTGTGCCTGGTGGCTGCTGAAATCGCGACAAACGCGCCGTTTCCGGTGTGATGGGAAGTATTGAGGGCGTGCTCAGTATTGCGTACATGAGTGGAACTCGGCGCTGTTTGCTTCCTTTTTCTTCTTTTTCTCTTCCATTTTTCCTTCTCGTCACCTTCTCGAATGACCCGGAATCATCGTGCGTGCATGGTGTCTCAGTTTGTTCAAAATCCAGTCCAACCACCGCGCAGCGCAGGGCTCGCCTGGTAATGGATCGGCGGCGGAGAAGACCTTCCTAGACACTTTCCCTGCTGCTTTTTCCGGCTCCGTGAAAGACCCGGTCTGGCATGAGCATTGGCATTGGCATTTGGTGCCGGTGTTTGGTCTGTGGAGTGAGGTTCGTGGTCCTCCCGGTGCTGCCGATTCAACTTCTGCCCTTTTGTCCATCTTGCCCATCTACGGGAAGGAGCGTATACAGGCCTACTGTACGAAAGTGTACGAAAGCCACCACGACCTGCCTAACCAGAGCGTCTAGCGCCGCCCAGCGCCTACCGCCTACCTACCGTGGCTTGGCTCTTGTTGCTTCTAGAATCTCCTTCCTACCGCTTCTCCCCTCACTAGCGGCTAGCCTGTTTCTAGTGTGGTTTCTTGCAGGTTCTAGCGCTACGCTACGCTACGGTTGGCTCGGGCTCGGCAAGAAGGTGCGATTGCTCAGTGGAAGCGCTGTCGCCCGTTCATCATCATGCTTGAAGGCTCTCCTCGCTGAGGCCATAATCCATAACCCCACCTCTTCCCGGCTCGTTTTTCACGACTCCGTAACGGTGAGGAAGCGACTCTCAAGTGAGCGCTTCTATTTTCAAAATCCCAGAGTCGCCGTCGCCCTTCGCCTTCCAGGGATTCCGGAGACCCAACTGTGGGTTACAACGTGCTGGCTCCAGTGCTCCAGTGCTCCAGGGCTCCAGGGCTTCAGGGCTCCACCTTTAGGGGTTTGTTGAAGAGTTGCTCCAGTTCTTTGGCAGGCTCAGGCACTGGTGGGCAGGCCTTGGCAGGCTCCCGTCCAGCATCAGAATTGCTCCCTGCGCAACGCTGCGACCGGTCTCACCCCCCAACCCGGACTTGCCTCCCTGATCCGAAGCTTTGACACGCAGAATCGAATTCAGGAGTGCTGGTTCTGCTTTGCTTTACTCGGTTGGCCATTTCTTCTTCTTCGTCTTCCAAACAAAGACAGTGGCAGAGAAGAGTGAAAGAGACACCACCCATTACCACACTCGCCCCTCACACACCCATACCGTATACCACTTATACCACCAACACACCTACACCTACACCCCTCAACACCACATCCGGTGCCACTGCGCTGCGCCTACTCGACGACTACCGGTACATCACTTACCTTCACCCACCCCCAAGCTAAAACAACCATCGGGACCAGTCACATCGGGACATCACGGCTCAGATCCCACTCGAGTCCTATACCCTATACNGACGACTACCGGTACATCACTTACCTTCACCCACCCCCAAGCTAAAACAACCATCGGGACCAGTCACATCGGGACATCACGGCTCAGATCCCACTCGAGTCCTATACCCTATACCACTCATCACTTATCAATCCAAGTGTGGTAGTGCCCGCAGCGTAAACGTCAACGAAACACCTCCCTCTGCTAACGAGCCTACGACCATACGACCCTACGACCCTACGACCATACGACCCTACGACCCTACGACCATACGACCCTACGACCCTACGACCCTACNAACGTCAACGAAACACCTCCCTCTGCTAACGAGCCTACGACCATACGACCCTACGACCCTACGACCATACGACCCTACGACCCTACGACCATACGACCCTACGACCCTACGACCCTACGAGCCCCCTCCTGGTCCAAGGTTTTGCAGTTCCCGCAGTGCTGGGCGTCTGTCTCAAACTCTCTGCTTGAGCCGCGCCGTCATACCTAGAGAGCGCAAAGTCACCTGTCAACAATCAACAACATCTTAAGCTTTGCACCAAGGTGGCCCCTCCCATCCAGACCTTACGGTTGCCATCATCTCGCTGGTATCTGCATGCTGGTGGTGGAACTCTATGATCCATCCCACAAATCAACTGCCATCATTCCGTAACACGACCCATCCATCACCACATCCACCCCCCTNNNNCCCCCCACCCAGAACACCCTATCGAGGCAACGAAACCACGGTCTCCCCGTTACCCTTCACACACATCCAAAATCCATCCACGGGAATTCAACTAGTATTTCGTATACGAGACGAGGACTCTACGGTACGGTATTCAGTTCCTCCTAACGTGAACCCTTTCCGGCACACTGCCCGGGTGCTTGAAAAAATAACTGGGCTTGGCTCCTCGACGATCAGCCTGGGCCCTCTTCTCCTTTCGGCAGGTCGCACTGTACTACTTACTTCCTCCCCTCGCAATTATACCAAACCAGACTACCGACCACCTTCATCCCCTACCAAAGACCCTCGCCGAACCACTCACTGCACCCAGACCAAACCATACTGTACCATACTATTCACTCCTTTCGCCACTGCGACCAAGACCAAGACCCATATCACCACTACCACCTTCCTTCACTCCTTTGGAACACTGACATCCCGGACTTGACCTGGACACTTGGGGCTCATCTTCCAGAAACATCCCAACCGACATCAGCATCTGCAAAATCCCGTTTGGTATCCACTGACAAACGAAATTGATTGGAATATTTTCAGGTGACATTGGCATCGAGCGGCTGCGTGCATACTCCGGCGTTACGACCTGCTTTCTTTCTCTTGTAGTGGAACAGTCTTACCATCACGAACACATACTTCTCGTTACAAACGAATAATTGCCCTTCAACAACCTCCTTGTACTCTACGACAGCCTGTCAACGCATGCGTCGGCGAAGGCAACGACAGACAAACACCGCATTCCCACGATAAACGTTGAAATCGAACGATCCGATTCAGTGGAGTCATTGTAGGCGTTCGATTGGTAGATTGAAGGGAGGAATTACATTGCTCCAATCGACTCATGAAATACCTTCGAACCGCGATGCGAAGGGCGAAACATCGAAAACCACCCTCATTGTACCTGTACACTTCTTCCCGAGAAACCTCTCCGCGTTGCTCGTCCGTTCTATCGGACTGGGACGCAGACGACGAAGGCTTCATGTCAACCGACAACTTCCCTCCCTCGAAGCCCCTGAGCCTAGCAATTCCCAATGGCTCATACTGCTCTCGAAAACCAACCTTACAAGAGGTACTATCAAATGTAGCCTCACCGCCATGGACGTTGAGTGCGTTTATGGCTTATCTATCGCAGAACCATTGTTTGGAAACTCTAGAGTTCACCATGGATGCCAAGCGATATTCCAAGCATTACAGAGAAATGGCTGATAGGGATCCTCTGACACCATTATCACCACAAAGTCCCGAGTGTGAATATGTTCGTATGCTGTGGCAGAAACTATTGGACGCATACATTGTTCCCAATGGCCCACGGGAGGTCAATCTACCTTCCAATGTTCGAGATCAATTGGTATCCCTACCATGTACATACACCCCACCCGATCCAACTGAACTCGACGCTGCAGTTAAGATAATTTACGAATTGATGGAGGACTCGGTTCTCGTGCCTTTTGTTAACTCGGTAGCTCCGCCGCGGAGTTCAGATTCGCATCCAAGTCCCTGGACTTCAGACGAATCGATGACCGACACATATATGACGGGGTCTTTAGACGAGAGATCATTGTCGCCAGCACAATCTCGGCGGTCACGAAATGACAGTCCCCCAATGGCGGATGTAGAGACTAACTCACCAGTGATTTCTTTTCATGGACTATCACCTAGAATATCTCATCACTCGCATCTCAGCGCTAATCTTAGCGCTGCGTTCGGTCGAGGTAGCCGACTTTCGGCACCACCTTCAGGATCATCTGCTACATCATCCTCTGAAGTACCAGATGTTCTTACCGACGACAGCACCGACTCACCATCCCCATCTGGATCGACACTCGAACCAATGACTCCTCCAAACACACCACCGACATCTAACACCGGATTCAATGACCCTTCACCAGGAACAAGTCCACGGGTTGGCCGAGGGGAGGGAATGGGATGGAAGAAGATTGGATCGAAATTTGGATTCAAGAAGAGTCGGTCAGCTCACGGTTCCAATGCTAGCAATCGAAGCAGCTCACCACATGCTGCTGCGGGGAAAGAGGCCATTTCCCCAACCGGTAATGGTTTATGAGGGCGGCAGGTCACGTCCTCACCAAATGATATGTTTTCCATTATCCCTATTCCAGTTATCGCACCTATGGAGCATCCTGTGGTAGGGCTTAAACGCTCTCGAGGCGTTCACAAAGACACAGCTTTACTGCATGGTGGAACCAGCTTGAAGCTGAGTGAGGGTGGTTTATCCCCGGTTCTTGAAGCTCATCCTGGTTCCCCAGTTGACATTAGTGAGCATACCCGTCCGTCACACGCGGCGGCCTCACTATCACAATGCCTGTATCATGGCAGTGACGCAGAGCTCGCAAAGTTTGAGAGGAAGGCGAGAACGGGTGGGAAAAGAGAAGATTCTATCAGGAGGGAGGGCGTGGCCGCAAAAGGATTCATCTTTAGAGGAAGGAGAGATGAAGAGAGGGATGGGGATAAATATGTGCCGAATCGTCGCATGCAGGTCGCTGGACCACAGCCATTTTTCATTCCCGCCAAAATTCATGAACATGAGGAGATTATGTCCCCTGGAGTTGTTTCTCCAGGGATCTTTTCAAGATTTCCGGGTTCATTGGAAGGTGTGCAGTCAGGATCGGTAACAGCAAATTCTTCAGCGACTTCAACTGGTCCTAGTACTCCAATGGAAGAAGTTCCATCGATACTAATTGAATCGGGTCAAAGGCTGTCTATTGGCACTGAAATGGCAATGCAATACGATTTCAAGACTGAAAATGGCGTCTGGATATCTGCCAACCCAGTAGCCATGGAATCGAGAAGCAGTCTGGCGATCAACTCAACCTACCAGACGACCAGCACAGTTGTGGACGATAGAATGAGTATGATCAGCCAAGGGGCTCTGACGGTCGACACGAGCGTCGCCAGTTCCTCGGCCAGCATGATGTCATCAATCGACTCGATCCAATCCGCCACCACTGTGGGAAGCGCCGACATCTACGGGTGGGAAGAGGAACTTGACCGCAAGGAAACCATCGAGAGCACCGTCATCTGGGAGCGCGAACCCCAACGACGGCTTCCCAGCGGCGGACGTAACTTTGGTCCTCGATCGCGCATGTATGACTCTTCTTCTCATAAGGGGAAGCGGAAGAGTTTGCTCTACCGCGTGTTGAATCTTCATGGTTCCCGACGAGGGTTGGTGGAGGAGATTCCCTCCCCCTTGTCGAGTCCGACGAGACTCCCTGGGGGGAATTCGAAGAGTACGACGCATCTGGAGATTCCGAGTTCGTCTCCTTGACATGACCTTATTCTTGTGTGTCGTTTGTTGAATGATTTTTTTTTATCTTGTTTGTGAGCGACTCTTTTTTTAAACAGTACACGTACCATTTTTAATGAACATATGAAAACTTGGGAAGGAAGCCTTGAGAGGGGATTTTAAAACATACCATACGTCTTTTTATTTGGGTTTTTGGTTTGGTTGGGGGATATGGGCATGGAGCATTCATTTCTCTTTTTCTTTCGTTTTGTATGCATGCATGGCGTTGATATTATATTGGTGGGATTCTTGGGGGGTTTGGGGTTGGGGTTGGAGCATGCATTTGTACTTACTGTACCTATCTATCTACCTTTGGGTGTGTTTTGGCGAGTTTTGGTTTGAATGGTTTGAATGGGATGGGATTGGAGGTTAAAATGGATTTGATTCTCTTCTTCTTCTTCTTCTTCTTCTTCTTCATTCTTGTTTTATGTGTGCTTGTTTTGGTTTTTTCGTTTTGATGATGTGGTTTCATGTGTTTGGTTGGTTGCTTTTCTTGTGTAGCTTTTGGCATGGATGTACTCGATGTGTGTGTGTTTGTGTGTTGTTGTTGTTGTTGTTGTTGTGGCTATGATGTAGTTTGATGTGGTTTGTGGTTTGATGTATGTGTTTTCTAAGCGATGATGATGTGATGGGAGAATTATTATATATATATACCCCTCTTTTTTTTTGTTTGTTGATGTTTTTGATGGTGTTGTTGGTTTGGTGATCTTCTCTTACTAATCAGTTGGTTTGTTGGTAGTAAGGTGGTAGGTAGGAGTAGTAGTAGTAGTAGTAGTAGTAGTAGTAGTATGAATATGAATATGGATATGGATATGGATATGGATATGAATATGAATATGGATGTGGATAATTGTATATATACTCGAGCTCCTGATTGTTTAGTCTACTCTACTCTACTGTCTAACTATTTGTATCGATTCTATGATTCTCTGTATAGGTACCTATGTATCTTACTGGTTTTTGGGTCTAACTTGGTTAGTTATATTAAGTTAGTTATATTAAGTTAGTTATATTAAGTTAGTTAGGTTAAGTTAGTTAGGTATATCTTTTAATTTGTAGATATTTAGTATTATACATAAGAGAGGGAGAGTATATACGTATATATATACGTATATACATTCCTATCCTATAACCGTTAGTTAGGGGTTTAGTTTTATTAGTTTATATATTTAGAGAGAGCGTATAGTGTAAATTTAACATATGTATTCCCGTCGTTCTCTAGGTATCGATATGCTATACGAAAGTAGAAGAAAGGGGCGTGGGATAGCGATAGGAAGAGGGGATAGGAAGAGGGGATAGAGAGGGGATAGAGAGGGGGAGAGGGGGAGTGGGGGATACCTAAGGAAAAGAAAAGAGGGAAAGGAATGAAATGATTAATTTACTTAGATGTACTAGGTATAGTAAATAGGTAGACAAGTAATATATGAGATCTGAATTTATTATAATACCTACTACCAACTACTATTATCTAAAAAAAAAAAAATTGACCTCTTTCTCTCGAGAGCGAGAAACTTGAGAAAAAACTAGTAATCGAATTAAACGTTCGAAATAAGATTAGCTTAAATAAAAGGTAAATAGTATTCACTTATAGCAACTTAACTTATAAGTACTTACCTACTTTTTAGAACCGATTTATATTATCTAACTTAACTTGCTTAGTCCTTAATATAAATAGCTCGAAGTAATTCCTTAGGTAATATTAAGTATACTAGACTAAGTTAAACCGTTCGGATTCTATTTCTCTTCCTATGAGTAAGGAGATATTCTATATATCGAAATCGAAATCCAGAACGTACCTCTTATAAAGAAGTAAAAATTTAGTTTGCGGGTTGATTTTTGTTCTCACGGGTGTTAATTGTAGGACTTTAGGGCCGAGACCTCCCCGGAAGTAGGGTCGAAAAATCCTACAATTAGGATATCGCGAACAGGAAGTCCTATAGAGCGTACTTGAAGTTATATAGAATATTAAATGCCCTCATCTCCCACAAACAGTCTAGAAACAAAAGAAGCAAGTCAATTGCTCAAGAGAAACCTCGTCCTAAATTTTGTTCTCATACGAGCTTAGCTAACCCTTTCATAACTTCATCTACTCATCAACTGACTACCAGCCGTCATCATCCATACCATACCATACCATATCCGCACCACCACGCTTCATACCCTTTTCACTTTCCAGATCTATTCACCAAACGCCCGCCACGCCGCACATCTCATACAAGTTCCTCAAACTCCCACTTCACCCTCCCCCAACCCATCTCACGCTCAAATACAAAACCTCACTCACCCTTCATGTCTCACATGCGTTGAAAGAAGTAGACATACGCAAATTTCTTCATCTCCTCCACGTCCAAGGCCTTGACGACTTTCTCGTCATTATAGAGGACCCAGGATGGGGAGTCGCCACCGGCGATGCTCTTTCGGATGAATGCGACGTAGTGACTAGATTTTGTGTTAGTGATTTCCAAATTGACGTGGTGTGAAATGAAAAGGGGGAAGGAGAAAAGAAAGAGCTTACCCAGCATGAATACTACCCCCCTTATGACAAATAATAGAATGCAACTGAAACTTCGCTGGCAGCTCCCCACTCCCAGCATCCTTCTTCTCTACCGCCACAGCTGTCGGAGTATCCTCATCCAAATCACCCGGGTCATCCATATGACTGAAGATCCACTCCATAGCTCTCTCCATATCACCCCCAGTTTCTCTTAGAGCCTTGCGTGCTTGCGGTTGTGTAAATCCCATCTCGCAAATCGAATTGATCTTTTCGGGATCCGCTGCCGTGGTAGTATCAGCCGGGGTTCCAAGATTCAAAGGCTCGTCGATGTCGGGATCCTCCATATGAGAAAAGAGCCATTCCATTGCTGCATCTGCGTTTTCGTTGCCTGTGGCGTGCAAGGCCTTTTCGCATCGGTTGACGGAGAATCCCATAGCACTGAGTTGCTCCACGATACCTGCATTCGCTTTCCATTTAGGTGCGCTTTCACTGCCGTCGTCGGGTAACAATTCCTCTGAATCCTGCTTTCCTGGGGACTTGTAGCTATCGAGTAAGAAAGGTTCATCGCCAACAACAACTGGTACATCAACCTTGGTAGGTACCCAATTGATCAAATTAAAGCGTCTGGCGTTAACAGCGAGTACTTCCGGAAATGTCTTGAATAGAGATCGCTTGATAAAGCCATCTTTGCTACCACACGCAGAACATGTGAGTTCAACATGTTCTTCAGAGGTAAAGATATCTAGACATTCCTTCAATGTAACCGACTCATACTCATCCTTTTTATCCTCGTCTCCAGCTTGTTGTGAGATTTTCCGGATGGGAACAGGAACGGATATGTTATCTTGCTCATCAGTTCTATATCGGACTTTCTTGCAACTCAGGCACTGTAGACGTTGTTCCATCACGAAGCGGAAAGAATGGGTCGGATCTTGTTGGGGAGCCTCGTGCTTGGAGCGTGTAATGAGTTTGAAGACGCGAAGGAGAAACTCGAAAGCATCCTGTTGTCGCATCGTTGAAAATTCGGCATGTCCTCTTCCAATTAGATGCTTCAACATGGCTGGTGCAAGACCTCTTTGATATGCAACCTCGCCCGAACTCGTGGATGGAGATACCTCTGGATCTGATTTTGATACATCTGGATCTGATTCTGAATATCGCCCAGAAATTAATCCATCTGCTAGCTTTCGGAGTTGTGTCTCGAGATCTTCTGCGGGATCTATAACATCTGGAAGATCGGCATCTGGCAAGTAGTATCGAGCTTGGAATTGTGGCAACGCAAACAGACACTGAAGAGTGCTGGCCAAATAACAACTGTTTCCGAGATTCTTCAATCCTGTGAAGTCTTTACCAAATAGCTTCTCCAGTTCATGACCTTCCTCATTTGTCATGGAAAACTCCCAGCGCAAGTTTTCCTCGACTTGCATTTCCGTCAAACTCTTCTCCGTCTTTTGTGTCTCAGCTAGAATGATCCCCCAATGCGCAAGGTGCTTTCCCAGGTCTTCGTCGATTCGCTCTTCGTCGCATTGGTAACAGTACACATCCGCAGTTCCTTCTGGGGTGATAGAACCAAGTTTTACCGCCACTGCATGTCCCGTGGTATTCTTGTGTTCCAATCCATGAGAATGTCCATCTAGTCCTCCAAATTGAGCCCGACCGCATCCTAGATTGCCACACTGAAGGCAGAGCCACAGGTTCTCTTGTAGATCACAGAGAGAGCAGTGGCCCAGATCCCCAGACTGAATTTGTCTCGAGGCCTCTTGCTGCAACATAAGGATGTGCTCGCAAGATGTGAACTCCTGCTCCCAAGCCTTTACTTCCTCCTGTCTGGAAAATGTATTCGCCTTCAGAACCCCCTCTACCACAGTCGCCAAATTTCCACTCGTCTTATCAACCTCATCAACATTGCATTCATAGCATCGGACGGTCGTGGTATAATCGTATCGATCTGCTTCGGTTTCGGCTGCGATGGATAGCTTAGACATCTTCTGCGGAGGCTCATCGCGAACCACAACCTTGCGAGTTCTCCTAATATTTAGTACTAGCGGATGACTTCTCGTAGCGTAGTGTAGGGCAGCATGTTGTCTATCTGCAGTACAGCCTCCGTTGAAGCAATGCAAGCATACATCCAGGCCAAGCGGATCGTCAATGGAATCAAAACACTGAGTACAATCCTCGCGATAGACTGACTGATTTGGCCCTGGAACGCGCAGCTCTATAAATTGATTAGCATAATTTTGTTCTAGGGCATTAGATTACAACTTGCCTGGCGCATCAACGTGCTTGCAAGACATGGCGTTGGATGGTGTTGCTTAGGCGTTGTATGGTTGTACCAACAAGCTTGAATGCTTATGTAGAGCTCTCTACCTCTAAGCTAAGCAAAAGGAGGGGCAACTTCGGCTAATGGTTTTTCCGACATCCCCTCCCCTCCCAGCCAACTATTGCTCTGATTGTCCGTGAATCATCTACCTGAGTGATCCAAATGTTTGGGTGAACTGAGTTCCGTTGTCGCTTACGGTTGGATCTAGTAATTTCATATATTTGTGTTGATTGAAATTCATTGATCCAAATATTTGAGTTAATATTGAATTGGGGTTTGGATTTACTTTACATACATAAGTATACCAATAGGTAGTTACTCTGATTGTGACAATTTGGTTGATTTCTTTTTATTATATTCTACCCATCTGGTGCGTCTCTCAACCCAAAATCCCCTCTATCTAGTACTATGCTACCTAATTTCTTGGTAGGGTGGTTGATCTGTGTAGTTCTAGGCAGGAACGGCTACTAGTGGTTACTGATGGCAAAACCTCCACCTCCTCCCTAAGGCAAGTATAACCGACCGGAGTTGTGCCGTGCTGATGAACTCACATCACACCACTTGTTTCTCCAACTCATCAACCAGCATCAACCAAATCCATTCCCCAACAACAACATCAATCTTGCTTCATCTCATTCCAGCTCTATTTCAAGCCAAATGCTTTCATCTCGTCAATCAGGAATGTCCCCAGAGGCAATTAGTATACTTCCTTCATTGACAGATTCCCATGTTTTTCTTCACTAATTTCTAGGAGCTCTTTCCATCTCTACTAAAGCTTCCTCTGGAAAGACACCCTTCTCAACCATCAAAGACACAAACTGCGTCAGCCAAGTCTGACAGTTCTCTATCTTGATTCTCGTCTTTGACGTCTATAATCCGTTATTAGTCAATCCCTACATTTACGAGAGACCACTTTTCGGTGCATATCATACTGATCCAGCAGGTCTAAGACTTGGTCCAGGCGCGTTGACTCCACGCGCCAACTCTTCCAGTTGATCCTGAGGTACATCATCAATACTGTACTCGTCGTCATTCTCGAGGATCATTCCTTTGTCGACTTTGCAAAGCAGTTTTAGAGAATGATTTCGTGTCTCGGTTGAGAGATCGTGGTTTCTTTCGAATTCGTGGATGAAACCTTCACTGGGACTGCCTTGGACGTTGATGATTTTCCCTCTTTTTCATTCTGTTTTTCTTTCTGTTTCTTCTTTTTCTATGTTTGGGACCCATAAGGCCCAGTGGGCTGCGAATATGGGGGAGTGGTAGATGACCAGGTATACTGGACGCGACATGGTGTTTTTTGATGTGTTAGCTTTTGTTGGTATTGTTTATCTTCACCTGCACTCTGTATAAATACTCGAAAAAGTCACGTGCTTTGGAATAGGAACCCATCATCTTGAAAATCGACTCTTGGGAAATCCGGACTCCCGGGACAACTCTCGTCAAATGACAACGAGGCAGAAGACTTACAATGGCATTGGTCAAGAATGAGCGAGCATGGTTCCCGACAGATAAATCCATGTCTGCTCTAGCAAGGGGGTCCCGCGGAGAGTACAGTCGCTCCTTCCTTATGGCATGCTGACTTGTATCGCCAGAGGAGGGGTTTCTCAAGGCCTGGAAGATCGATACCCGCCTTGCCTCCTTCTCCTTAGATATGTCAATTCAGTCTGGAAGGCTTTGGGGTTGGGAGGGATTTACGCCAATGCTCTATTCGCCCATACATTGCTTAAATCCTCGCGCCGTCTCAATCAACAAAACTGATGCGACATACAGTTCTACAATGGAAACCTCGCTACGAATAGCAAATCATGTGCCTAAGTACAACCCAAGATTCTACCATACAATGGAACCCGAAGAAAGGAATGGTAAACATCAGAAAACAGGACTACTTTAGAGGACTGCGATGATGAAAATATCGGAAGTATCCGCAACATCGAAGGGAACTCGAATAACTCCCCCCCCATCTCTGACCCTCTCGGTTACACAATTCCGATGGCTCTAAACAGCCCAGACCTTATTATAAAATCGACTGTCAATACTTAATAGGAATTGACGAGTATGGCTCTATCAATCGAGGACTTCTGGAATCTACAAGCAATCGTCTGAGCTCGAATCCTAATCCATCTAAACATATTAATCGCTTTCTTTTGGTCTTTTCCTATAATAAATACTGAAATTATATATGGTATTCTCTGTTTAATCATTGCACTTTCCTTTTTTGTTGTATGAAAATAGGGGATGTTACAGTGGAAAGTGTTACTCAGTCCAAGTTCACATTGCCTGTTAGCCGACGATAAGCGTTGGTCGAATAGGAGGACGAACGAGTACACAATGACCCTTTCTGCTGAACATTGTATACCTAGCGAAACTTCTGGATGATACAGAAGTATTGATGATGTCTCTTCATATATCTGATATTAGTATATCCGATGTCGGGGATTGTGCCCATGTTGGAGATAAATATTCTTCACCAAGTGAGAACCTCACGCTGGAGATGCCAATTGCCTTTTATTTTTATTTTTATTCTATTATGGCTTCATCCAGCTATCATTTTCTCCTAGACTAGGTTATATAAATCTCGTATAGAACACAACCACAGTGTCGTTTTCTTTTCACACGAATTTATTCATAGAGAAAGAAAATGTGACAGAGGAAGTTGTGGCCTCAGGTATCACAATCTCGGCATCGGAATTTTGACGGGGGGTTGATTCACAATTCCGATTTGTCCGTCTTGCGACCGTAGCGTCATAAAGATTTACCTCAAAGATTAGAACGGACCTCCAACTCTTCACGACGATCCCTAGCTATCAACACCACAACGACACAAACCCTGCATCTTTTGAACCCTCGTCAAAATCAATTCCACTTGAAATTCTACACCTACACACCTACATACCACCAAATAAAATACGCAGCCCATCAAAATGTTCCGTCGCAGTTTGCTCAACTCACCCCGCGCAGTTGGACGAGCCATCACATCCGCCACCTCCCGCCCAACAGCTCGTCTCGCAAGTCCATCCATCAGCTCACCCATCGCCGTCGCTGGACGAAGACAATACCACGAGAAGGTTATTGATCATTACTCGCGCCCGCGTAATGTCGGTTCCATGCCTAAGACAGATACAGATGTTGGAACGGGACTTGTTGGTGCACCGGCCTGCGGCGATGTAATGAAGCTCCAGATCCGAGTTGATCCCAACAACAACACCATCTCCGATGTCAAGTTCAAGACTTTTGGATGTGGCTCAGCGATTGCGTCATCGTCGTATCTTACGGAGTTGGTTAGAGGTATGACGTTGGAGGAGGCGGGTAGAATTAGGAATACTGAGATTGCAAAGGAGTTGTGTTTGCCGCCGGTTAAGCGTGAGTTTTTCAATATTTACCTTCATATGGAGGGTCAAAGGGAAAGGAAGTGAAGACGGAAGGCTAATAAGGGGATAGTACATTGCTCTATGCTTGCTGAGGATGCTATCAAGTCCGCCATCTCAAACTACTACACCAAGAACCCCAATGCGCGATCAACAGACCTCGGAGGAACCGGAGCGAAGATGCCCAAAATCGACGTTGAGACAGTTATGAAGCCTTCTGCCTCGCAATCTGCGACCGCTTAGGCTGTTGACGATTTACGGAAATACCGGGGGTGAGTGAAGGGAAGGTTGAAGAATGGGATGAAGGAAAAGTTTAGTTTGTCAGCGCCTGCACATTTTTGTGCGTCCTGGGAGGCATCAGAATGTAATTATGGTAAGGGCTCTTGAGAAGGCTGATCACCACCACTCTTTCCACCAGGTGTTTGTTGCACTTCGTGGATGGAAAAGGGAATTTGTTTGTTTTGGAGTATGGGACATGGACGCAGTTTTCCTTGCGGATTTGATGATTGCCGGGTTGCTTGACGAGGCCACTGGGCTTTCATGTACACAAACTCTTTCTTTTTTGATACTTTACTTTAGCGAATGAAGGACAATCGACTACAAATGCCACTCTACTTTTCGATATCTGCGTTTAATCATCTGACTTGTCTTGGTTTATTTTGCGATTTGGAATGATTAAGGGGGTTGGAAATAAATATCCTACTCTCAATCAGTTCCATATTGCTGTTCTGGCTCGTTTTCTTATTTAGAAGTAGTGATGGATGTTAAGCAAAATCACTTTGCCACCAGTGCCCAGGTGAATGGAAGCTACCTCACAATCCTTATCGCCGAAACGAAAAAATTCTTATCGCAACTCCATCGTAAAATTTCCAGTCCCGCATCCATCCATCCATCCAATCCACCTCCGCGATCCACACAACCAATCGACCCGAACGGAACCGCAAAGATGCCCAAACGATCGATTGACGAGTCGGGGCTGCCAAATGGTGAGAATAAACGGAAGAAGAGTAAGAGCAAGTCGGTTCCAATTGCTGAGGGTGCAAATGGTGCGGTAGAGGAGGGAAAAGAGAGTAAAGCTGAGAGAAAGGAGCGAAAACGGCAGAAGAAGTTGAAGAAGGCTGCTGCGGAAGCTGAAGCTGCTGGGGAGGAAGAGGAGAAGGGAGAGGAGCCAAAGGAGGAAGAGAAGGAATTGACTGAGGAGGTTGGGGAGGATGTAGATGAGAAGAAAGTCGCGAAAGCTGCGAAGAAGGCCGAGAAAGCTAGACTGAAGGCTCTGAAGAAAGCAAACAAGGAGACGAATGGGGAGACGAATGGAGAATCCGAACCTGCGCAGGTTGATATCGCGAAAATCGGGGTCTCGACAAGTAACGAGCTTTATACTGAGAGTCCTGATCTCACGGCCCTCCCACAAGCTGATATCGACAAGTTCCTGAAGGATAACTATATCTCGATCAAGGATCCGTTGGCGGAAACGATGTCCCTACGCCCGATCGTCAAGTTCGAATACCTACCTATTACCGATCCCAAGCAATTGCAGCCGTTCAAGGCTTTCAAAGCTCCGACTGCTATCCAGGCTGCGGTTTGGCCATATCTTTCGGCGGGGAGAGATGTGATTGGTGTTGCGGAGACGGGATCAGGGAAGACGATGGCGTTTGCGGTTCCTTGTGTGAGACATATTTTGTCGCTGGCTGGGGGCAAGAATAGAGGTGCGCGCGCGGTGATTGTTGCGCCGACGAGAGAATTGGCCATGCAGAGTTATGAGCAGATTATGATTTTGGCCAAAGTCTCCGGACTACAGGCTGTTTGTGTGTATGGTGGTGTACCCAAAGATGAGCAGAGGAGAATGCTGAAGACGGCGGATATTGTTGTTGCTACGCCGGGACGCTTGAACGATTTGATCAATGAGGGGTGTGCGAACCTGGGGAATGCGAAATATGTTGTACTTGACGAGGCTGATCGGATGCTCGATAAAGGGTTTGAGGAGGAGATTCGAAAGATCATCAATACGACTTCCAAGGAACGACAAACCCTCATGTTCACAGCTACATGGCCTGAATCTGTCCGAGCCCTCGCCTCAACATTTATGAAAACCCCTCTCAAAGTCACAATTGGAGATAACCCCACTGGCGATCTCCGAGCAAACACCAGAATCGTGCAAAAAGTCGAAGTCGTCGACCCAAGGAACAAGGAATTCCGCGTCCTCCAACTGCTCAAAGAGCACCAAAGCGGCGCGAAGAAAGACGACCGCATCCTCGTCTTCGCACTCTACAAAAAAGAAGCCACCCGCATCGAGCAATTCATCCGCTCCAAGGGGTTCCGCGTTGCAGGTATCCACGGGGATTTATCTCAGGAGCAGCGTACCCGGAGCTTGGAGGCGTTCAAGAGCGGTAACACACCGATTCTGGTCGCTACTGATGTTGCGGCCAGAGGACTGGATATCCCCGCTGTGAAGCTGGTCATTAATTGTACGTTCCCGCTTACGGTGGAGGATTATGTGCATAGAATTGGACGGACGGGACGGGCTGGGAAGGATGGGTTGGCTATTACGCTGTTTACGGAGCATGATAAGGCGCAGAGTGGATCGTGAGTTCTCTCTCTTTTTTCAATCTGAGTGAGCTATTTGGGTTTTTGCTAATGATTTTCTAGTTTGATCAATGTTTTGAAGGCAGCGAATCAGCCTGTTCCTGATGAGTTACTCAAGTTCGGTACGACGGTCAAGAAGAAGGAGCATAGCGCGTACGGAGCATTCTACAAAGACACCGAAGGTGCGGATAAGAAGGCTACGAAGATTACTTTTGATTAGAGGAGACTTAGATATACCCCATCTGACTATTCTCGTTTTGTACTTCCCCTCATGGTTCGGTAGAGTTGTAAGAGGTAGACTCGTTCGGATATTGCTCTGTGGGTTGGGGTTTGTTAGTTAGCTGTTTTCGTGTAGAAAAGAGTAAAAGAAGAGAAAGGAATAGAGAATGTAAAAGAAAGAAGAAAACTCACAAACTCCCAACAAACACCACCGCCACCCCACCACTCTTCACCAAATCCATCACACCCCCCGTAAACGTCCCGGAAACCTGATACAACACCCCCCACGTAACCACACCACCAGCCACAGCCCCTCCCCCGGGTAACAAACCCCTCAAATCCCACTGCACACCGCCCCTCTCCATAAACCGCTTGATAAAAACTGAACTCCACCCAATCCTCAGCGCCATATTGATACAATTCGCCCACACCAGTCCCTCCCCACCCATCCCCAGTACCTTCAAAAACAGATACGAGGACGCCGCGAACGCGCACGAGAAGACGATGAAGAACCCGGATTGCGTGTTGACCTCCCCCTCCGTGGCAACGGCTGAGACGAATGCTTCGGTGATCCCGTTCAGTGAGAGGAGGGGGATGTAGTAGCAGTACACCGAGAGGACGGCGCCGGCACCGGTGTGTGACCAGTGGGTGCCGAGGATGAGGTGTAGGAGTTGGGGGGCGAGGACGGGCCCGAGGGTTACGGCTGTGATGGAGAGGAGGGTGTACCCCCGTAGGAGGGTGTTGAGGCTTTGTTTTGCTGCTATCACTTTTTCTTTTGGGGGGGTGGATTGGGGGGATGAGGGGTCGGATGGGGAAGTGGAAGAGAGGAGACGGCCGAAGTAGGAACGGCTTGATTCTTCGATGGGTTGGAGGAGGAGACGGGCGAGGAGGCCGCCGTAGTTGTTTGCTAGTGCGTAGGTTCCTTGGGCGGTGGGGGAGGAGAAGAGGGAGATTAGTAAGGTGTCGCCTTGGGTGAGGAGGTGCTTTAGGATTGATTGTGTGAAGAAGTTCCATGCTAAGTGGAGGAGGGTGTCGGGCCAGAGGGTGAGGATGATTATGTTGGCGGGGTTGCTGGTATGTGTTAGGTCTGTAGTGAGGATTGGGGGTTGGAGTGAGGGAACTTGAGTTTGGTAGGGGGTGGTTACCTTGTGTATAGTGGCGTTAGCGAGAGTGAGAATCCAGATGCTTTAGCGAGGGAGCTGGTGCTGGCGTAGTAAACTAGGGTGAGCATTACTGAGTAGACAGCTTGTCCTATTGCGAAGGGGAGAACGCCAAGGTCGAGGTTGGACTGGAAAAGATCAGTACATGAATACTGTAATAAGGTATTAGAGAAGGACGCACCTGCGAGGCCCATATAGATGTCCCGCAGCAAGCCAAGCATCTCAATAACGTAGCTACAGCTTCTGCTCTAGCACGAATCTTATACATAGATTTATGTTGCACAACCACAAAACATGGTTCAGAGAGTAATTCCAGGATAGCTGAAACACCATAAATCTTCAAAGCGGCGTCAAAAAAGGGTGTTTCTTGGATTGAGATATCTGAAGTGGTAGCACGGAGGTAAAGCATTCCTAGTAGGATGGCGAACCCAATCCCCGCGTATATCGAGAGGTAAGAAAGATTCACAATTGCCTGTGCTTTTCCAGCTGGCGTTTCAGCGGAAATCCCAAGTGGTTTGTCTTCTTTCTTCTCCGCGACTTTCTGTTTCTGTTTTTCTTTTAACCCCCTTTTTTTGGAGGATGACTTCTGCTTTGGCTTCGCCTTCTCATTTTCGTCTGATAATGCGTCTGCATCAGGGACCTCGGATACATCAGATTGTCGCTGAATCGCCACACGCAAACTTTCGCGTGCGAAGAAAAGAACGGAGATGGAGTAGACTTCTAATTGTGTTGAGATCCCTAGTATGGAAGGGGAGAGGAATCGCAGCAGAATCTGGTTGACGATGAATGTTAGGGCGCGGGAACCGACTTGGAGGGCGATGAGAAGTGTTGCTCCTCCAGTTGAGGTGGTTGCCAAGTCTGCATTTTGAGATCCAGAACCCGATTCTTGTTCCTTTTTGGGGGCGGGCTTGGGACTCATTTGGTGATTTGAGGTGGTTTGCGTCTAGAGAAGGGGATGGACGAATGGGAACACGTTTTTGATAACTGCTATAGCGGATTTCCGAGGTGTGGCCGGAGGTCACATGATGATATGTATCACTGAACTTTGACGTCAAGTTGGGTTTGAGTCAGCTCTTATCAGATTCACTTTTTGCAGATTTTCTTAATTTACTAGTTCTTTAAATTCAATTTTCCCTCTGGATGATTCATAGGCGAGTAATCATTTTGAAATTACACTTTGTTCCCAAAGTCAAGCCGGGCAAGCTCGTAGCTGGATCCAGATCTCTCACTAATACCAACATCAACTCATTTATCATCTCACAATATGTATTTCCTCACAACCATAAAAGCAAGAGCCATCTCATTGGGTCTCCTCCCAAAAAGTCACAAAAAACGTCCTAAATCAGAACCCAACGTTCTCCCCCCTTTAATTCCAACCGAGCTACCCCACATTCTACCCGAGCACTCATTCGCGCTCTCCGATCAAGGCTGGACAAAACTCACATTAGACCAACCCGTCGATCCACTTCAGACCACCTCGCAAGCACTCTTGCAAGCCAGTAAGGCGTTTTTCGACTTACCAGCCGAGAAGAAGCACGAATTCAAAACTCGCGCGGGGACGGAGGAGGGGTGGAACCATGTCCCTGGGGAGAAAGAGTTTATTACTTTAAGGAGTTTAGAGAGGGTTCCCGTAGAGTTGAGGAATGCGGCGAGTGATTTTTGGGACGTTGCGGGGGTTCTGTTGGATGATTTGGTGAGGAGGGTAGCTGAGAGTTTGGGATTACCGCCTGATGCTTTGGGGGTATATTCGGAGCCTTGTAGGAAGTTGGGGGTTGAGAAGACTGCGAATTTGCTGAGGTTATTTTGGTATGAGAGTAGCTCGAATGAAACTGAGATGAGGACTGTTGCTGAAGGTAAGTTGCCATATCGCGTACACATGGGGTGTGACTTTTGAATTTTGACGAAGAAATGGCTAAATTGCAATCCAGCACATCGAGATTTAGGTCTTATCTCTCTCGTCATCGGCGATACCCCCGGTCTCGAGGTCTGGAACCGAACCTCCCAGTACTGGTTCCCGATCGAGAAATCCTTCCCCGAACCGGCAGGCAGCTTAATAATCGGACGACAACTCGAGCGACTTTCAAACTCCCGCTACCAATCTGGTGGTCACCGAGTCGTCTCGTATCCAAATCCCAATCTAGATCCACAGTCAAGTATAACGCCACGGTATCGCTACTCTATTGTTTTTGTCTTGCTAGCGCATGAACCGGTTCCGGTGAATACTGATCAACTTACTACGAAAATCACCGGACCTTTTGCAAATCCGGTGAGTGGGACGGCTGGGAAGCTGTATAGGGAGATTCATCGGGCGCATTTTAATATTAATACGGCGATTGAGGAGAGGAATAGGCAGAGGGAGGTATTGGCTGCTAGGAAGGAGATGGAGGAGCAGGCGAACTTGAAGGCGTAGTGTGGCTCTCTAATCAGATGTGGAATCCAACTTCAAAAATGAGTTTTAGAATGGGGTACCTGGTAGACTTCGCTCGCTTCAATGTTGGATATAATACAATAGAAGCTTTTCATGGCGCAATTAAAATGTGTATATATTTGGTCTCGCTATAAACTCAATAAAGACCTTAAATTTACTTAATGAATACCTGAATGTATCGTTGAAAAGTTTTGTCCTCTAAACGGAGTAGAGACTGAAAATGCTTTCGGATTCTATTTTTATTTTGGCCATTTGCTTAAATGAATTTCAGTGTATACAGAATGGGTGAAAGTAGTGTGTACGGTAGTAAAATGTGCGGTTTGATTGCGCCACAGAGAGTGAGGTATGTGTCTTAAACGTCTTTCGTATTGAGTGATGAACTATCTTTTATGCTACTACTTGCAAGAAAACCACAAAATAATCTCCCAAGTTATCAGTTTGGTACTGAACTAGAAACTGTCTTCCAGGTACTATGAAGACAGGAAATGGATTCAACCCTTTTTGGCATTTGCAAATGTTCTGAGCAAGGCACGAGATGTGGTTGGTTGTATGGCTTGGGAGAAAATGGGCCGTGTCTAGGTAATTACTGTATCAAACTACCATTTATTATCTAAAACTACCAAAAGAGCACCAGGCAAGCTCCAGTCTAAGCCAAACCGAGAAACACGGAAATAATCAAATATACATGAGAATCAAGGACCATCCTGGTCCTGAACAGATCTTAATCGTAAGGAGGTGGTGGCATACCAGAAGTTGAAGGCTGCAAAGCGTTCAAGAGCTGTGAATCCAAAGAAACTATCTCTTGAGCACATTGTTCTATAGTGTCAGCCACCTTATGCTTTTGTAACCACACCTTTGTTTCATCACTAACTTTTCGCAAGATGTCCTCTTCCCCGAATACTGCACCCCTTACGGACTTTTCAAGAACGGGATGAAATTGCTTGACATTGTTGATTGGGTACACTTGGCGGTCTAAATTGGTAGATGGAATGCTTGACCAGCTGTGCTTGACGCCCATGATCTTTCTAACCTCGCTGTGGTGCGGAGGACCGGGCCCAATGTTTGCAAATATTGAATCTTTCACGTTTTCGACCCCGTAGAGTGCCCAGATCTCGTGTGCAGCAATCTGATCGATATTTAGTTGATTGGGAAAGTCGTTGAGCAAATTCGTTGTTGTGTTGGTGGAATCTGTCATTTCCCTCGGGTCTGAAAAGTACTTGGTTGCGATTGTTCCCACAAATGCGCTCAAGAGCTGGCATTCATTGGGTTCTAGGGGATCCGCGAGGGCACCCTCTATTTTGAGGGCATCGTAAGCGCGATAGATGATCCATCTTGGGTCAATTGTATCAGCTCTGGCCGCGACAAAAACATGGCGACAGGATGTTTGTTCCGCACCGGAATCCATGAGCTTCCTTCCCGTCTTATATTGTTCCTCGCGGCGACGGACAGCGTCTTCGAACTCCCAGTTATTAATTAGAACTGATGGGTGCTCATTTTCCTTCTTACACGTCGGTGCAAACTTTCTCCATTCGCAGAGAGCTCTGTCGGTACTCAAATGGAATCGTCCAAGTAAAAGAGCAAGACATCCACCACCGCCGATGCCGCAGATAACGCCGAAGACATCGCATGGCCTTAGTGAAATACCGGGTTCGCCACGCTTCTCAGCGATCTTGGCAAGCAGTGCCTTGAGTATGACAAGTTGAGCTACTCCTTGAAGCCCATCTCCTTCTAACGTGAGCACTTTCAGTGGCCGTTCCGGCTTTGGAAGATATTTCTCAGGCATTCCGATAGCGTTGTCAAAACAATAGTGCAGGAAAGCGTTGTGATGATGGTAGAATATTTCTGAAAGGTTGGAGCATAAGTAGACAAAATATGCTTCTCAAGTTTGTATCACAGAGTGACCCTCACATTTGATGTGATTCATCTTGCAGAGGTTGATGATTGGTTGCTTTCGTGTAAACCCATTCAGAATATGTACGTGGAAATGCACTTTACATATCAACCTTGTCATAAACGTAGATACCACATTGATATTGGGGGCCACGTGGAGGCCTAGAAATTACTGAGTGAATAGACTTACCTCAACACTAACGTAGCAATTCGCTTTCAAGCGCAAACCTCTCATTGGACGAGTCCGACGTCCATCGAAGCTGCGACGTGCAACAAAAGTGGCTTAGCGCTATGTGGGATATATGGTGGCTTTTGACGTTCACTTTAGCAACATCGACTCATTGGCAGTGGGTCATCCAGGACCTCTGTATCAAGTTCACTAGGTGGTTGGTTACCTTTGGTCGACGAGCCACAAACTTCGTTCTTCCAGCACTGGTTGCTGTCGGAACCTTCACAGACTTACCGTGTTGAAAAATGTTGCGAGATAGAAACGGCAAAACTCTTCAATTTGTAAAGTGAGATACAGGTGTGTATTAAATACCCAGAAATAAGGCCAGTGCCACGATAGTGAGTAGTGAGTAACTAGCAAATATCTCAACAGAAAAGAAATCGTTCAAACCCCTGACGTAATCCGGCTCTATTTCTGGTTCTCGAATATTTGTTGCGAAACTTTGTCGACACGACGGATCCGTCAAGACTACCCACGATTCCAGCCATGATACAATGTATAATAATGAGCCAAACCTGAAATTCCTTCGAGCTCGTCTTTTCATCTCTAATTGGCATCGCTATCTCCGCAGTCTTAATTTCGTTGTGTACTTCAGCGTCTGGCACGACTGAGTTTGGGGGTGAGAAGACAGTTACAAGTTTAGTTCCAAAAGACCCTATGAGCCAGCGCATGTAATGACCAAATGTTTCTATGTGCTCATAAATGTCTAGTGTTGGTGGTGTGGGTCCATGTCGATCATCCCCTGTACCGATTCTCGCTTATTTTCAGGGTGTTGTTGGTTACAGTAATCTTGGCAAAATGAGATCTATTGGTGGGACATGACATAATGCCTGCCATTCGAGTCCGACCATGCAGAAAACCAACATCTTCTCACATCCTTACAATCATCTGCCCATTATCTCACCTGTCAAACCTTTAAATATTGCTGTTTTGTACCAATCTTCTCACATCGAACAGGTACGCTTTGTACAGAGCCGTGAGAACGAAATGTCAACCACTTTGATAATTGTAGCTGTGGTTACTACGATATTCTTTCTATGGAAATTCTTAGCACCCCAGCCGAAGCTGAAAATTCCGCATGTTCAATTCAGGAGTGACAATTCTATGGCACGTTATCGCGCCGAGACGAAAACACTCATGGGGGAAGGCTACGAGAAAGTTAGCCATATTCGCGGACCTCTTAATCTGTTCATATAGCTAACCAATTCGATAGTATACAAGAAATGGACAAGCATTCTCTATCCGTAATGCTTACAACCCCAAGCGTCCGATCGCCATTTTGCCCATGAAATATCTTGAAGAAGTCAAAAATGCTCCGCAGACAGGCTTGAGCTATCCGCTGGTTTCCGAAAGAGTAAGTTGATCATTTGGCAGGTTTTCACAAATCTCGGTGATCAGTGTTTTAATAAGATATAATCTAGTCTTTTGAGTTGAAACATATTGGTGGACCGATACAAGGAGATGAAGTAGTTAAAATGGCAAGGGTGGACCTCAATCGATCGCTCCGTTCGTTTATGCTCACGAAAAGGTTTCTGAGTACTAATATTGTGACATTCAGCCAATATGATCGAGCCAATGCAATACGAATGTATCGCAGCATTCAAAGACCACATGCTTGCATGCCCTGGTAAGCATCGCGTCCTAATGAATGGATTTTGAGATGCTGACTGATCTGCTTATTTAGAATGGACGACCATGGCACCATACCAAACTCTCGTACAATTATTTTCGCGAGTCTTTGCACGGGTGTTGGTTGGACCAGAGTTAGGAAGCTCTTCCCAATGGCAGTAAATGGCTCTCAAACACACGATGAACGTTGTGAGGGCAGCTCCTGGAGTGAGAGCTAAATTCCACCCCAGGCTCAGATGGCCAGCAAAATAACGTGACGAAGAAAAGAAGACAGTTTTTCAGTTTCGGCAACAAGCTGCTGGGGTATTGCGGCCCATTCTCGAAACTCGCAGTCAAATTTCCAAGTCGGGAGACAAGCCAATATACGACAATGCGGTGCAGTGGCTTCTCGACGAATACAAAAGCGTTGGAAAAAAGCTGACTGCGGAAGCATTAGCTCAAGACGAACTTCTTCTTACCGTAGCGTCTATTCACAGTAGCTCCGCTACCGAATTATCCATTCTGTTTGATATGTTGGATTACCCAGAATCCATGGCCGAAATCAGAGCAGAGATTTCTGAGGTGCAAAAGAAACATCCTACTTGGTCTCGTATTGACCTCAATCCGCTCAAAGTTATGGATAGCTTCATGAAGGAAAGCCAGCGTTATCACTCATTTCCTCAACGTAAGTGTCAAAAGAACCCTTACAGTTTCTTCTAACTTTCTCTCAAAGTAAGATGCTTACATATATGACTTTAGTGACGATGCAGCGAGTGGCTGTCGCAGACTGGAAGTTCAAAGATGGTCTCGTTATCCAAGCAGGTACCCAAGTCGCATTCCCTAATCTCGAAATTGCCTTGGATGATAAAATACACCCCAACGCCAGCACTTTCGATCCAAAGCGCTACTTACGCAAACGTGATGAGATTGACCCTACTAAGTTTCACTTTGCCTCGACCACAGACGATTCGCTACATTTTGGAGCGGGGTTCCATGCATGCCCGGGTCGAGTTCTTGCCCAGGATGCAATGAAGCTCATATTTATTCACCTTTTGACTCAATATGATGTCAAATATCCAGAAGAGGGCCAGAAACGACCTCCTAGTATGCCACTTGATTTCAATATTATGCCAAATGTTATGGCTCCATTGTTGTTCAAGGAAAGAGGGCAGCGAGTATATCGACCCCCGGGTGTTCGGTAAATCGACCCCCCCCCCCGCCTAATTTTATGGGAAATTCACCACCCCATAATCCCTAGTAAATACAGTTCCTGTTTAGGAAAGTGGATTTTTTTTAGACTAGTAGTAGAGTTATCTCAGCCTTCAGCCGCTGGGTCACATGGCCGATTTCCCCCCCCTCCTAGGGAAGATATAATTATATAACAAGTGACTCTATTACATAATTATATAAATTATCTAAAAGAGTCCATTATTTATGATTATTATAATTAATTTCTTGGCTAGGGAGGCCCAGGAGTAGGCCCACTTTAAAGTGATTTAGACTAATAGGAAGCAATGACTTTTAGTGCCGTCTAGCCTTAACACTGAACTTTTTAAGTCAGCCCCTTAACAAACACCCCAAAATCAATGTTATTACTATAACTACCTACGAACTACTTTTAACAATACCCTTCTTGCCATTAAAGAGGCTTCGGTAGAACGAGAGGAGTCTATAGACGAGGTGGACGAAGAGGACGAAGAAGTAGTAGAATAAGGTATTGAAATGTGGCCTTCTTTACTCCTTACGGAACGTAATTTAGTCCTATTTTAAGTGTCTTCTTATGACTAAAAGTAGGGAAAATATGATCCAAAGACTCTATTATTACATATATAATTTAGACTCCATTATTATGTTTATAATAAATATAATTTGACCAACCCTACCCCCTCCCCTCGCCCCGACCCGACCACGCCCAGCCAATCACACCCCGAAACGGCTGGAGGTGGGTGGGGGCCGGGGGCGGGGTCGGCGCGAGGAGTCGGGGTAGGAGCGGGTGGGTCACGTGGGGTGGGGTGAATAGGAAGCCTGCTACTAAAAGCCTTTATAAGAGGGTCTAGGTACTAAGATAATAGTAGAGTAACAAAACTTTTAACTTACGTATATACTTTAACCTTGACTTTAAAGCCATCCCTACTTATTATATACCTTATTCTCGTATAATATAGTAGATTTACTAGAGTTTCCTATATTATAATTACGTCGAATTAGAGAGGTCTACGATAATTATTATATTATAAATACATAGACAATATAATATCGATTATTATTATATATAACCTAGAAAAACTATAAATCTATCTCCGAACTAATTAGTACGCTTTATTCTCCCTAGCTCCCTAGCTTCTTGTAACGAATACTCAAACTGGCTAACTAAACTTGGCTGGGTGTTCGCTGGTTGGTATGCTATGATAAGAAGAAGACTATCGGGTTGTTCACTCGGAAGTGAACTCGTTACTTGTATCAAAGATGTCAAACTAATATGATAAGATTGATAACTAAGTTGAGCACGAAGCTCCTATCTAATGGCAGACGTGCCAGTCTTATATAGAACCTTCATACCCCGCGTATGGTCCGAGTATAGAGTAGTACAAGCCTCCCTTATACTTCCTCATACTCCCTAGTCACATGATCTCCTGTAAGGAAGAAATCCTTGGATCGCTTGGCTACCCTAAGCGATCCCTATTTGCTATGAGAAACCTGAATGTGCCTGTCGAGGGTTGCGCCTCTTATTATGACAAATATCACGTGANTCCCTTATACTTCCTCATACTCCCTAGTCACATGATCTTCTGTAAGGAAGAAATCCTTGGATCGCTTGGCTACCCTAAGCGATCCCTATTTGCTATGAGAAACCTGAATGTGCCTGTCGAGGGTTGCGCCTCTTATTATGACAAATATCACGTGACTCGTGACACTATCCCCATTTTAGCTTAGCTTGGTCCCCAAGCTTAAGTACAACTAAAGAAATATCGTCAGAAAGCCGTCAGCCTTCCTTCTTCCTTCAACATGCCCTCCTTATCCCCAGAGAATTATCGCACCTGCCTCAAAACCGCTCATAGAATCGAAAACCATACGGATTCCGTGGAAATGTATCCTTGTACGTTTTGCTCGAAAAATGATAAGAAATGCCTCGTGCTCTCAAGTGGCGGTTCTAAGAAATGTTCTGAGTGCGTACGACGTGGTGGTAAATGTGACGTGGGAGAGTTCCTTGAATCGTCGTGGGATTCTTACGATCGTCAGCAGGCAAAGCTGGACGCGGAAGAAGAACAAGCAATCGAGGCCGACCGAGCGGCCATCCGGGCGAGTGAGGCAGCTCGAGCGAAGCTTGATCGTCTCCGAAAGCAAAAGCGTTTTCTACAAAAACGAAAGACTGAGATGCTCCGTCGCGACCTTCGTACCCTTGACGAGTTGGATGCAGCGGAGGAAGCTGAGCGTCTTGAAAATGAGCGTGCAGAGAAAGAAAAGGAAGATGCGAGGGAGATGGTAGAAAGGAATGCCGAGCTAGAGCGTCTACTGGCTATGCCCAATCCCGCTGGCCCCTCGCTCGATCCTGGCCAGGCCTTTTTCTCTGATTCCCAGCTGGCAGACTGGGGTGTCGTTGGTGAAATTCCTGGAGGGTCTCATGGCAGTTGAGATTCGATTTCGTTTCCCAGGTATTTTCTGAATGTGGGTAGTCCAACCATTTGATCAAGTACTTGATCTGTCCTCTGACAACCCTACAGTCAAGAATCTTCTCGACCTCATATTCGGCGTTTGGGTTGACTAGTTGAACTTTTGTGTGTGGGGCTGGTGGTGCCCCTGGTGGTGGTGGTGCTGGTTCGAGCAAGGATATATGAAATACTGGATGGATGTTCATTGTCTGTGGTGGTGCCAATTCATAATTCAAAGGTCCTTTCACTCTCTTGTTTTTAAATGGTCCGAGATTCTTATGGTCCAGTTTGTTGCTTGGTCTCCTTGTGCCAATGTTTTTCCGTACAAGGTAGACTCTATCCCCCTCTTTTAACGTTGGCTCCTGACTACGTCGTTTATTGTAGTAGTGCGCGTTTCGTTCTGCCACGAACTGCAACTCACTTGCGAGTTCTGTGTGCAATCCTTTGATCTTCAAGACCTGGATACGAGCGAGTTGATTGTCTGTCGTTGTAGCCAGTGGTTCTCGATACGCTTCCAATTCGTACCCAAAGTTGGCGTAGAATGGCGTAACAAGTGTTGTTTCCGTTGTTGAACTATTATAGGCGAACTCTGCTAGCGGGAGCAGTTCGACCCAATCGTCCTGTTGGTAATTCACGTAACAACGGAGGTATGTTTCAACCACTTGATTCATGCGTTCGTTCCCTCCATTTGTCTGGGGGTGAAAGGCTGTTTACAGTTTCCTTTTCACTCCTAAGCGCTCCGTGAGGGCCGTCCAGAACAATGAGGTAAAGAGCTTGTCTCTGTCTGAGATTATCTCTTCTGGTAGTCCGTGCTTTGAGACTACTTCTTTGAGGAATGCGAATGCCAATTCCTCGGCTGTACTTGATTCTTTGTATGGTACCAAGATCATGTATTTTGTCAGCCTTTCCATGATAACCAGGATCGAATCGTATTCGACTCCTGTCATCGGACCCTTGGATTTCGGTAGTTTTACAATGAAATCCCAAGAGATCGACTTCCAAGGGGTTGGTGGTATCGGAGTAGTGCCCATCTGTCCATAAGGCGCATGGCGGGAAGCCTTGTTCCTAATACAGGTATCACACTCCGCTATCACTTCCTTGACTACGGCAGCTACCCTATCAACGTGGTAGTTCCGTTTGATTCGCTGGAGAGTTCGGCGAACTCCCTGATGTCCATGGGCCGGTGCCGCATGGTATTCCGCAATAAATTCTTTTGCGTATGAGTCCGGGACCCAGATCTTGCCGTTCTTCGTTTCCTCGATTTCGTCTTTTGCTTGTGCTGCTTTGACTTTGCCGCCCCAGGGACTCTCCCTAGTTGTGGCAGCGATTTCATGAATCGTAGGAGCAAGGTCTCCGTTCTCAAGAGTCTTCAAGATCGCAATATTCTTATACTCTTTGTTTCCTTCGTAGCCTGGTTTCCGGCTGAGCGCATCTGCCCGCGCGTTCGAAGTTCCGCTAACATGACGAATCACAATGTCAAATCCCGCAAGGATTTGCGACCACCTAGCGAGTCTCCTATTACTAAGCTCCTTGGTTGTTGTGAATGTCTTCAGATTCTCATGGTCAGTAAGGATTGTTACCTGGTGCTTCGCACCCTGGAGGTAAATCTTCCAATGCTCTAGAGCGAGGACTATAGCAAGAAGTTCTTTCTCAAAGATGCTATAGTTCTGCTAAGCGGGGTCCAGTGTTTTCGAGAAGTATGCAACAGGCATTAGCTTCCCGTTCTCGTCGGGCTGTAGATGTATAGCTCCGACAGCGGTGTCCGAAGCATCTGTCTCGACAGTGCTTGGTTTGTCGACGTCGTGATTCCTAAGGATCGGTTCCTTAGCGAATCGCTTCTTGATTTCCTGAAAAGCCCGTTCCGTCACCTTGTCCCAGGAGAATGTCTTGTCTTTCCTGGTCAAGTCTGTCAGGGGTTTGGACAGTCCAGCGTAGTCTGCTATAAATTGTCGACAAAAGTTGGCAAATCCCTGGAATGATTGGATGTCTTTAACGTTTTCCGGTGATTTCCATTCCACGATAGCCTTGATTTTCTCCGGGTCAACTTCCATCTGACCGGGGCTAATCACATATCCAAGGAAGACAGTACGAGTTATTCCGAACTCGCATTTCGATAGCTTGAGGCGGCAGTCTACGGCAGCGAGTCTCTGCAAAACTTCTCTGACGTGTCTCTCGTATTATTCCTTTCGTTCTGAGTATACTAGAATGTCGTCTAGGTAACAGATGACAGTCTCTCCTAGAAGGTCTTCTAGAATGCTGTTGTTTTGTCTCTGACAAGTGGCGGGTGCGTTCGTTAGACCGAACGGCATCACATTATACTCGTAGAGTCCTGATGGCAAGACGAATGCCGTCTTCCATTCATCTCCCGGCTTGATCCTAATCAGGCCGAAAGCATTTCGTTGGCCGAGCTTGGTAAATATCTTGGCGCGGCCTAACTTGTCCCGCAAGTACAGGCCGGTTGGTAACGGATAAGCGTCCTTAACCGTAGCGTTGTTGACTTCTCGGTAGTCGACACAAGCTCTCCCTTTCGAATCGTCTTTTTTCTTGGCGATCAACATATTCGAAGCGATTGGTGAATCCGACTTCTGAATATGTCCCTTCTGTATTCCTTCCCTGACGTACTCCTCGAGTAGTTGAAGGTTCCTCCAATTGTGAGGTCGAAGCTTCTGCTTCCTGAGGTCATGACCCTCTTTCAATTTGATCTCGTGATCCCATGG